TACTGTTCGATGCGCGACTATCATCGTGTTGTGAAAAGATGGTTGGGTGACAATTTTACCGTAGGAGCGTCTGTGGTCGGTACAGGTATTGCTGGTAACGCGTCCGATAGTCTTTCTTGGCCACACGGACTCTTTGTTACTTCCAACTTCGACTTGTACGTTGCTGATCGACGAAATCATCGCATTCAGCTCTTTCATTTCGGACAACTGAATGGCACCACGGTTGTAGGAAAAACATCAGTGAACATCACGATTACGCTTAATCAGCCTGTTGGAATCACGTTAGATGCAGACGATTATCTTTTTATTGTGGATTGCTACAATCATCGTGTTGTTGGATCAGGACCAAATGGTTTTCGTTGTATAGTTGGATGCACTGGTGTACGTGGTTCAGGATCTGATCAGTTAGCATTCCCCGTATTGTTCAGTTTTGATAGTTTTGGAAACATTTACGTTACCGACTGGAGTAATAATCGGACACAAAAATTTTATTTCTTACAAAGTTCCTGTGGTAAGTAAAAATATGTGACGTAAATTCTTTGAGATGACGAAAGGCTTTATGTGTAACTGTAAAATGCAAGAAATTCACGTATATTTCATCGCATTTTCTTTTGATTCTTGAATAATTCATACTAATTGAACACGTTGTAGGCGAACTAACTTCCACAGGTTTGTACAAAGATTAGAAATGATCAGTACTCGAATCTGAGAATATACCTTTCTAGAACAAATGACAACAACATCATCGACCATCATCAATCAACGTAAGACTTCTCTGTGAATGTGTATATTCCTCTTCAATATGATTCAATTTAGCATGTTCTCCACCAACGGTAACACTAATACCAGGAGTATCCTCACTAGCATCTCCGATTCAATTTCGTCGAAGTCAAGATTTTACGATAATTTCCCTGATTCAACTTCATTGCAATGTTTCCTTGCTAATGAATACTCAATGGGCAATTAAAAATTGCACTTCATTTTGTTCACAACAAGTTTCAACAGATCCAACTATAATAACCACGTTTAGTGAGTTGTATATTCCATCCCGGACTTTACCGTATGGCTTGTATGAAATAAAGCTGACGGTCACGATGACCAACATGACAATGCTCTCGACATCCGCAACTGTTTATGTTCAAATAAGTCCATCAGGTATAACTGCAAATTTAATTCAATACGGCACTTCGATGATCACTCGTGGTCATCAACAAGATCTTCAACTAGATCCAGGAAGTTATTCTGTCGATCCTGATCAAGATACATTTAATGCGTCAGTAAGTTTATCATTGATGGGACTAATTATCTCCTTCATCTTAACATTTTTTTCGTGAAGAATTGGAAATATAGTTTTTACTGTCGAATATACGGATTGTCAATGTTTCCAAATTTACAAGGTTCACTATTAACAATTAATGATATGAGAAACGATTCATCGAATCCGTCGTGTTTATCAGCGAATCGAACAGGGTGGAAATTCGATACTCCTCTCAATTCTTCACTAACAATTCTTGCTGGTTCACTGCAATTCAATCGAACCTATCAATTCATGGTGTATATGGAAAATCGTCGAAACTCTTCTCTACAAGCGACAGGATATGTTCTTGTTAAAGTCGACGAGACTCGTCCATACATGATTTTAATCGGGTATCGTTTTTTTCTTCTTCTCTTTTCCTAATCATCGATTACTCATTCTAGTTGTGTTATATGGACAATGTGCGAACCGAATCTAGAATTTCAGCTTGTTAATCCAACAACACAAGTTGCTTTGTTTTCAGTTTGTGCTGGAGATGATTCAGCAATTCAAAACATCACGTGGAGTGTCTACTACAGCGCAACAAATTCGTCTGCAAATTTTACTCAATGGGTTTTGTTCAATCAAACAACGTCGTATCGCGATAAATATTTGTTCGGTACAAAAACTGATTTCTTTCTCTGAAACATGAAAATATTTGCTGAACTTCTCTCTAGGAATGAATACGAGTAATTTTACTGCAATGAATCAACTATTTCTAGTCAATCCACAAATTCCTCTTTGGAAATTCGAAGTTATCTACACATTTCCGACTGCAATTAGTGTCAGTTCATTAAATTTTCTTATCAATCAACCTCCTTTCAACGGTTCTTGTTCAATCGATTCACTCAATGGTACAACAAGCAGTCACTTTACCGTCTCTTGTTCAAACTGGTTCGATGAAGATGGGATTAAAGATTACACTCTGTTGGCTTGGACGAACAATTCGACCAAGAAGATGATGGTTGCATATTCGTCAGCGTCAATATTTCAAACGTATTTACCGATCAGTGATGATCAAATATCAGTTCTACGCCTGATAGTTCAAATTCGAGATCAATTAGATTGCATTACTGAAGTCAACATTTCATCGGTTACCGTGTATTCGGATTCCACCGCTATCAATGATTTAATCAACGATATTCAAAATTCATCGGCAAACAGCCACGCAAATTCTATTATACAACTGCTTGCAAGCGAAAATCAAAACCTTGTTGGACAACTATTAACTTCGACTTCACAACAATTGAATCAAATCAATAATGACGAACTTGACAAAGCTATTTCTAGTAAGTGCTCATTCAGATGAATTCTTCTATTGCTCGACAATTGTCTAGATGGTGTTCCACGTGCGAACATCTTCATTTCAACACTGACGGATCATAGCCAGCAATCAAAAGCCTTAGTTTCATTGAACCAATCGGCGCTGAATGAATTTAACCAAAACCTAAATTCTCGCGCCAATGTTCGAGATTACTTGATAACATTTACTACAAAACTTCCGATAACTACATCAAATACAATCAAATTACAAGCATCATCATTAGCTCAACTCACTAAAATTACGAACGAATTGACACGATCAGCTTTAGTAAGATTTGAATATATCAACCCTTTCTTCGTATGGATCAAATTCTAATTCAGACGATTGCTTCGAACCGATGTTATCAGCTAGCAATAGCTTTAGAATCACTGAAAACTAAAATTGCATATGAAGACATGCAACTGGCAGCAAGTGACCTACTTCAATGCGCAGCTAATATTCTAAGTGTAAGAGTTCATTTGAAAGTACTAAAAGAATATATTTGAAGGACATTTATAGGCTGTGAATGGGCCATTGCAACAACGAACAACGATTCTCGATATAGATTCATATCAAGCAACGAAATTTCCGGATGATTATGATACAAACCTCGAATTTGATTGGGCTAATCCGAGTAAACATTTCTAATACCTCTTTTCATCGATCCGGTGATCAAATGTTTAGATTTGTTCGCTGATGACAACGACTTTTCACTGGAAACGATCCAAAAGAATCGCAATGTTTACTACCAAAAACAATTATCGAACGATATCAACGCTCAAATGACACAACTACTCTCCTTGCTGACATCATCCTTGAATACGCACCTTAACGTTGGGCAGGATTTCAGTATTGACACATCACAAGTGTTATTATCAATAGAAACTAAATCTAGTCAGTTCTTTTCGAATTCATTTACAAAGCGTATTGGTAATGGGCAAGTTCAACTTCCTAACAATTTCAATTCGCATCTGAACACAAGTAAAAAACTTTCGATTAGAGTAAGTTGACCGTTGATTAATCGCTTGAGCTTACATTTCGTTTTATCAGTCCATGATGGAGCCATTGGCAGCATTTGGAGATTCAAAATCAGCACTATATACAAATCTGTCACGATCACTTTCATTTTCTATTCTTGATCACGATCAAAATGAGTTGAAGATTCATACAACGGCGAATGAATCAATCGAAATTCTTATTCCTCGCGACCCTAATCTTCTTGTTCCTCCAATGACATTGCAAAATGTCACAGCGTTCAACTCGATTCCTCGCAATCTCACATTTGATCTCCACTATTTGAATTTAACAACGTCACTTCCAATTTCAGTTCACTGGGAAATTCAACCATTGAACACAAGTTTAGCTTATTTATTCGTCTATCGATTTGACCAGAGTCCACAATTAAGTTCTTCTGTCAATCAAATTGATGGTTGGACACTTCTTTGTCCGGCAAACTTAACCACTGAAGGCATGTATTTCGTTTACATCGATAATCAGCGAACAATAGGCCATCAATCGATGATTTTTGGTTTACGAGAACTGAATGAAACGGAAATCAACGACCGATGCACGAATTTATCAATCGCTGATCCACCAATCGCCGACGAACGAAGAAATTTTACATCGAATTATCAAATAAGAATCTATACATCAGGTTGTTATTACCTCGATGCAAACAACCAGTGGAAATCGGATGGTTTACTAGTTGGCCCACTGACAAATCGCAATCAAACACAATGTTATTCCACTCATTTGACAACATTCGCAGGTGGTTTTGGTGTTTTACCTGAAACCATCGATTGGAGTTACGTTTTCGCCAATGCTGATTTCGCGAAGAATAAAATGGTCTATTTAACTGTCATTTGTTTTTGTGTTATTTACTGGATCTCGACCGTTTATGCACGTTATGAGAACAAGAAAGATGTAGAAAGATTAGGAGTTACAGTTTTATCTGATAGCCAAAAAGATGATGGATATTATTATCAAACTCTTGTCTCTAGTGATCAACGGAACAATGCGGAAACGAAGTCGAATGCTTATTTTGTCATTCATGGCGAAAAAAATGACACACAAAGATTTCAACGATGGACGAGTAAGTTTTCTTATGCAGAATCAATCAATTACTAGATGCGTTGAATCCTGTATGTCGATCTTTGCTAGTAGATGAAAGAATATGTCTATTGGTTTTTGTAGGTTTATATGGGTCAAAATATGGATAAGCTGGGCTTCGCAAACATTTGAAAATTGACCTTTCAATCTATTTATTATTGAATATATTTGTTTATAGTGCTTTTGTGCTAAAGTATTGCCTGTGATTTGTATCCACTTTTTCGCTTTTGTCTTTCCTGTAACAAAGAATTAAATGATCGCTTTTCTGCCGCGGCTCTCGAGATAAAATTCGACGCTTTCATGAAATGAGATTAAACAACACGTGATATCTGAATTAATCCGTAAAAAAAAACATCACCAACGTTACTCATTTCGGATATTGAATGTTATCGACGGATATTTGCAACGATCAATTGATTTTCGTTAACAATAGGAAATTATCATAATACGCAGAGAGAGAGAGAGAGTCGTGATTGTTTATTAGTTCCAGAAACTTAACAACAAATCATTACACAAGAAAAAAAACGGTTAATTTTCTAATCGTTCACTGCAATACTTCTCGAGTTGATCGGATAGATAGTCGACAAATTCTTGCGATAAATGCTCAAAATCGATGCTAATTCTACCTGCTGATTTAGTGTACCATTTACTACTGAACTTAATATTCTCCGGAGTTAGAAATATCTCTGGTACAGAATATGTTGACTTTTGCGAGAGTTGTTTGAGAAGTTTCTTATTCGTTTGATTGATGAGAGAATTCGATAAGAACATTGCTGATTTGTTTGTATCTTGACATACATAATTGACAATGCTGATCATGATTAGACCGATTTCACGATGCAAAACTGGAAGATCTTCTTCGTCTATGACTGATTGCTTAAAATGACGAAAGAATTGACGAATGAAACGCATCAAATTCCAAACAGTCAAGTCTGTTTCATTGTTGATATACCGTTTCGCCTTGGTTGGTATGAAATAGTGCTGATTTTTACATGATTTCTGGGTGCAGTTCCGCATGTACCAATCTCTACATAGATTCGATTGTTCATACGCTTCGGAATGATCAAATGAACAGAAATATGGATCGTGAAAGTTGTTTGGAACAATAGAATGATAACATATCTGACCAGTCCATAGTTTTTTGTAAATACGAGCGTTGGTCTTTAGAATAGAACTTGTTTCGTGTAAATACACGAAGAGAAGAAGACCTTTTTCGAGATGAATATAAGTTATTCTTGCATTCGGTTCATAGAAATCATTCGAATTGTAATTCGACTTGAGCTGCATGTCTCCTGATTGAGTTGTTGGTTTTGCTTTCGTAGCCATCTTATCTAATCAATTGCATTGTTCTATTTTTAAGAAGTTCCACCATCATTTCTTCATCACTTACCTTTTTTTCACGTGAGTAATGAAGTTGAAAAAGAAAAATCTTATGAAAAAATGCTTTTGCTAGCATTTTCCGTCCGTTTTATATCTTCTTTCGTAATTACCTTTGTTTCTATCGCAATGGTGTAATTCACTTTGTAATTACTGGGGTTTTAGAAAAAATGATGAAACATCAGAAACCTTTCGCAATCTCACCAAGCCTTTTTTCCTGTTCTGATTCAGTCGATAGTGATACACAATTTCTTATCTCCAAAGCGACTTCAAAACGTCATCACCGTTATATAACTCTGAAAAAGTGCTCTGTGAAAAGTCTCACATAGAGCTGAATGATTACATGATAGTCATAATGTGATTCGATCACATCGCAGTAAACTCTACGATTTATTGACTTACATCTTTCACGGAACTTTATTAGTAATACATTAAATATTCCGATATTTAAAATTTAATCGTATAGCACACTCGCATACCAGACTCATTTGAAGTTGATAAAAATCTATCCATCCTTTCGCTTTCACTACTATCAACTACAAAAGATCATTGTACCAGAGAAATGAAAAATCGTTTATGGATGGTATTTTCGACCCGTATGTCCTATCGTACTAAAACAAAATCAATTACTCATCTGGCACTTCAGTAACGTTTTTTATTTGCATAACAGTAATAATTCTTCATTTTCTTTTTCTAGTGGTAATGCACTTTTTTCAATCAGCTGCAGTTCTTAACCTCTGTATAACAACGTGAGAGAGGGAGAGAAAAGAACCGACAAACAAAATTAATGCTCTTATGAGAAAGAGAAAAATCTATCAGTGCGATTATTTTGATGCTCTACAAGAGCGATCACACAAGTTTCTTTTTTATTATAGACGTTAAATACTCGAAGGTAAGCAGTACTCCTACATCGGATTACAATTCTATTTATAGAGCGTACCGGCTCATGAGTAGCACAGTTTTCTGTAAAAGATTGACCAAAATATGCATAGAAGAAAATGATGAATCAAATGAAAATAAAGAACAAAAAAGAGAAGCAAAGGATTCTTTTCTCTCAGTCAAAATCTAATAAAAATTGAAAAAAAAACCAAGGACATCATCACTCTGTCTGATAAGTTTGACACATTTTGAAATAACATTCATTCTCAGTCTTTATTAGTAACATGAAAGCAGCAAATCCATATGATGCGAATGGATACCACACTGAAATTGTTTCCGGCTCGTTCGATGACCTGCAACAACCGAGTCCAGTTCGAGCTGAACCAATACGAACCATAGCATACGACCAAGAATATCAATATGAAGAGGACGATACTGATCGGAAATATCGAACTCCTCCACCGTATGAACTTAACTTTTCACTATTCGATAATTGGTTTTTTTAATTTTAGTAAAAATTCTCCGAAGAAATTTTTCAAGAAATCTCCAAAAGATTTCGTCACAAGACTATGTCTAATTGGATTTGCAATCGGTCTAATAATTGGCATCATTATTTTGATTGCTATTGTTGTACCAGTCGCTGTTACACATTGTGCTTTAGGTAAATAAAAAATTCAGACGCCTGTCAATAGAATGTTTCGTTCTGTTTCTCTTCAAGGTACAGTTGCTTCCACTCCAAATTGGATCGGTAAATTTCAAATGGATAGTTCATGTGATCGATCTTCATGTTGTTGTTTCACGAATCAAATTATTCTCTCACAAGTATCCAACAATCAGTTACAGCTATCAGGTAATGTGAATGGTGTTTGTAACAACGTTCCATCGACCGTTACTCTCACACAATCAATGCCTTCCGGATTTCAATCAAATCTCATCTGGGCAGGACAAACAATTCGTGTTCAATTAGGTCTAGATAACTCTTACATAGCGCTTGTGAATGTCGGAACAGGATCATGCAGTGCGACGGGATTAAGAACATCATATAATTCTGTTAGTACGATGAGTATGAACGCATATTTAATTATGTTTATTTTAACGATCACAATTGGCAATTGCATGACATGACACTTTATCGTCTCATTCGGTTTTAGTTAAGCGAGACTTTTTTTTACGTTTTTTTTTATGAAGTATGTTTTTTAATAGATATCATTAAACGGCGATCCTTTTTCGTTGCGGCTTTGATAGAAACATAAAATCAGCGATTGTATGAATGTTTACTTATTAGAAAGAAATCGATCAGTCGGCTATACAAAAATTACGCTTTGTTGATTGCATTTATCGCGGTGGAGTAGAACATAACAGTAGTGGTACCACTTGAGACATCGATAGTTTCAAATGTATCAGAGCACTTTCTTGTCGTCCTTGACGATCTATTGTAGTTCGTTTTGTATAAATTTTCACTTTCAATTTTCGATGAAAGCACCTTTCCCCTATTGAAACGTTACAGAATAATCGAATATGCTTCTCTTGGTATTTAACACGCAGAAAAAGAACTCAATGATCTGATATACAAACGAGACTCTCTTTTATGCAACGTGTAAGAATTGTTATTGTATATCTCGGAATAAATTTCAATGACGAGTAAGTCTTCTATAGAAGAATGACATTGAAACTTTGCTTTATAATTTCACCCAACCGTATTATTTTTTCTTTCATCGTTTATAATAACATTCTCATGGACGTATTTATACATACCGATGTAATTTAGAACGCAAAATACACAAATCAAGTGCCTTAAGGACATGTCTCTTTCAATGCACAATTATATTCAATGCGCTGAATAAAATGAACAGTACAGCGCAAACTTCAACGTTAAAAAAATAGAAAATGTGTAAATTGTTCCGAAGTAGTATACAACACTCGATTTTCGATACAGTTTTTCATGCGAATACATTTGTCAGACGTCTAAAAACTAAAATAAACGCAGGTGGTTTGTTTACCGATCAAATTATAGTAGAAGTTTTACTTTGATTTGGAACAGCGGTTCTTTTTCAGACCAAAACTCAGATTTCTCGAAGCGATCTTCGTAATATGTATCCGGTTCGATGGATATATATCTCAAAATCCGAATACTCAAGTGCGAAAGACGCTGGAGATGTTGTTCGATTAAACTCTGCCATCTTTCACAGTCGAGCATTTCATGATCGACTCTTGAATACCAATAACGGAGTTCCAAATCGGTCAGATTAGAACATTTGGACAAAAATTGGTGTAAAGATTTCGCGGACGATCTCTTTTGAATGGCTAAGCTCAAGTGAGTGAGTTGGAAAAGTTTCAAATCAGACATGTCGATATTTGAAGTAAAATAAGTCGCAGAAACCACTAATGAGCACAGATTCGACGCACGACAACAAAACATGAATAATTCGCTGTCAGACACATCCGTGAGAGTCGCTCTTTTGACACTAGGTAAATCGGACAAAAGTTGTGCCTCATCTTCACATACTAGTCCCAATTGTACATTCAAATATTCAAGTTGATTTCTACCAGCAACCGCAATCAATGACCAGATTCGCTGTAGAATACTTCCTACATGGCCATCTCCACTCAAACGACTCATTTCAATAGACTCCAGCCGTTCCATAGGCAGTTCATTGAGTATTGATAGTGCTGAGTATCGATTAATATACTGAAAATCAATTGCGCGAAGACTTCGAAAGTTGATGTATGAACCGATGTTATAAATGAATTCCTCAGAAGCATCATTATGCATTGTGAGTGTTCGACATTGAAATGGTCCTTTTTCCCGTAGAATGTTCTCCGACGTTTTGCTTACGTCAATCAATGCGGGATAATTACGTATAGCTTGATTAAAACGCTCCTTAAGACCAAGAAAGCCTTTTACTATTTCGTTGAAAGATAAATAATCGAACACTTCGAATAATAGAGCATTACATAAATGTTCGAAGCAAGTCATTGTTGACGAAAAAAACATTATAAAAATTATGAAATAGCATTCGTTGGAAGAAAATCAGCTGTTTTATTTATTTCTTACAGGCTAAAACACAGTCTATGGGTGTTTCGAGAAAGGTGTCACTAGTAGACGATGAAAATCACAACTTGACAATGAATCATTTGCCTTTTGCCTACGTATAATGTAATGAAATGTTCCATAATAGAATCAGTCGTTATCATCGTCCACACTGACGAATGAAAGAAATGTGTTGAGTAGCATCATTAGTGATATGGCAAAATACTTAACCTATTGATAAAATAAATGTCGTTAGAATGTAACATCGATAATGGGACGCTAGAAAAGAACGAGGTATTTACTTTTGAAGTGAATTGTAAAAGAAAAATAAAAAGAACACGCTGATAGAGCGATCTCTTTTTCTTTTCGACTGCGCAGTAACGACGAAAGATTATAGTTACTGTCAATTCACAACTATGAATCAAATTACAGAAAGTCTAGTTACGAGACGAATGAAACTCTCTCCGAAGGTTAGAAAAAGTCTACCTTGGACGGTCTTTCTTATCACAGTCGCACTTTGTGTGCTGGCCACTGCACTCATTACTTATCGACTGTCAACATCAGCATCAGGTAAACATTTTTTCACACTTAATAAACTCTTCTTACCATATAAATATCGATGTTGAACCTATTTCAGGCAGTACACAAGCATCGTCGAAGGAAGAAATTGTTGTTGACTTTATAGTCATCGGTGGTGGTTCCGCTGGATGCATCGTAGCCGCACGACTAGCTGAATATGGGTTTGAAACTCTCTTAATATCGAGTGGCGCCAATGATACCTTAAATCCGATGATGCGAGAAAAGCGAGCGTACAGTCAATTATTTCGTATGCCTCAATTCAAGCATTATCTATTTCCGGAACCGTCTTTAAATCTGAATGGACGCGTTTTGAATACTATCGTGCAGAATACTCTCGGAGGTAATGGTGTTAATGGTGGTGGAATGGAACAAATGATGCGAAATGATTGGACATATTTCGTCAATGTCACGAATGATCAATCCTACCATCATCAAAATATGTCTGCATACTATAAGATGGTTGAAAACTTTACGTCAACTGCATCGATTTCGCCGTCTGAAAATCACGGCCATAGTGGCCCTATTATAATCACACAATATTACGATACGAAATTTGGTAATCTGTGGAAAAGTGTCGCTCACGAACTATCTGAAACATATAGTGATGACCTAGCAGGTTTGTCTGATTATGGATTTTCGTTTGAGGGCTCAGCGTTCACGAATGGTCTGAGGAGTTGGAGTGGTGATGCTTATTTGAGTTTCACTATGAGCAAGTATTCTAATCTAAAAGTAATTACAGCCGCTACCGTCACTAAATTGGAAATCAATGAAAAAACGAAGCACGTCGATAGCGTTTTATTTGTCACATCGAACGGTCTATTCAAAGGAACAGCAAGAAAAGAGTATATTCTGTCTGCTGGTGTATTTTTCAGTCCACATCTTTTGATGTTATCAGGCATTGGTGATCCGGATATTCTTCGACAGCATAATATAACTGTAAAGCATGAATTGAAACAAGTTGGCAAAAATTTAATGGATAATGGAGTAGTAACTATCGAATATGACACCAAAAACTTTTCCCTTGGTAACTTGAAACCCGTTGGCTTGGTTAATAGCCAATCAACAACAACAAATACTAATCCCGACATATTTTTCATCTTGAAACTGGATGAAGAAACAAAACGACTCACTGTACTTATACTTAATATCTCACCAAAATCTCCCGCTGGCTATGTTTCATTGCACAATTCGAATCCGTTGGTATTACCAAAAATAAACCTAACTTATCTCAAAGATGAACGTGATACTAAAACATTTGTCAATGGTATTGAATATATTCGACGAGTAATGTCAACATCTGTCATGAAGCAGTATGCTACATTCAATGAAACACAACCAGGACCGAATTTCGTGAATCTATCGAATTATGTCATCAATACTGTTTCTACTGCTCAGCATTTCCTCGGAACTTGTTCTATGGGAAAAGATGAACAAACGTCGGTCGTTGACAGTCATTTCAAAGTTCATGGTATAGATAATCTTCGGATAGTCGATGCATCGATATTTCCCGCCGGCTTCATTTCGAAATCTGGTCCGTGCTTAACAGTATATGCTTTAGCAGAAAAAGCTGCTCGCACACTACAGCAGATGTATTCTTAGATTATTCTTTCTTGCCAGAATAAAATATTTGCGACGTTTATACGAGTATATCTTCTTCTCCTTGAACACGGAAGTTTTCTTAACAAAACATGGGACTTATCCACCGCGTTCAAACCGACTTTGAAATAGTGCATAGACGAATTCTTATTTCTTAGTTATACAAGCTTTCAGCTACTCGATATATAAAGATGCAAAAATCAGATAAGCGTATTAGGAAATGAGAAAAAAATTACAACTGCGAATCATAAGAAAGTTCTAAATTCTGCGTAGAATAATGGCGAATCCTAGAGCGTTATTGTTAATAATTGCTGTAGTAATTTATGTGAATTTGCTCATTGCTGCTCGAAATACCAACAGGATTGTATACAAATCTGATGCAAAACAGAGTGCAAGAAAGAGAAGATAAACAAAAGTGTTAAAATCAAACTTATATACAGCAAGAGTTGCTGGTATCGAGATGGGACCATCGAAGCCCAAAAGTTTGCCTAAGTAAGATGCAGCAGTGCTAAGAAAAGGAAGCCAACCGACGACAGTCATTGTAATCGGTAGAGAACAGGAAGATCTTAAGAATACAAGTATGATGAGAAATATTGAATTACGCATATGTATCCTACTTATATAACATCTAGAGAATTCTTGGAAAAGACCAAACAGCTTCGATGTATACAGGAAATGCGTTATTTACGACATGACTCATAACGTTTGCATCGTTAGATAGATACTGATTTGACGTACATGTGTGAATGTGAAATGTGGTAAATATCGATATCACAAAGAAGAAACAACCTATATAGTCCTCAATACTGACTACTGCTTTTAGTACGCATCATCTTATCCTTGTTGCATGAAAAAGAAATAATCTTTGAAAGACATCACGTCTGATCAATAATTTTCTCATCATTAGAAAATTCCTTTATATTCAGTGTATGGTACTAGTATGAGTGTACTTGAAGGGAGAATATACGATTTTTTTCCCACAGGAAACGGTGGCACGTGTTTTAAAAAGAAAGGAAAAATGTAGTTTCTGCGTGTGTGAACGCTGGTGACATCTATTTGAGAAGAAAAAGACATAATACATGTACATTCCACCACGATCTTCTTATTTTCTATTCGATTCCGACTTAGACTAATCGTTTTGTACATCTTAAGACAACTAAACTCGTTCTCTCTATATCATTGTTACTTGCCAGTAGAAAATGAGTCGACTTTCAGCTCTTGTCTGGTACTGGTCGCTAGTGATTTTACCGTTTTCAACTGTGATCACATTCATCATAACATTGATAGTATGTGGACAAGTACTAAAGAATAGTGGATCTGAATTCGTATTGCCATACATTTCGCAATTAGGAATCGGTCCTGCTTATCCTTATTTTGTAGCTGGTTTTGTTTTATTATGTTTACAAATGTTATTCATTATTTTCGGTCGATTACAATATCTTTTTCAATCGCAGTCCGTTGTCAGTTACGTTAGTCTATGCTTTATCCATGCTGTAGCTGTCATCTCTGGCATATTGCTACTTATTATGTCTGTCATCAGTTTAGAACATAACGCTTATCTACATATCATCGCTGCTTTTGGAATGTTTATATGTATATCTCTGTATTGTTTACTGAACAGTATTCTTTCTTTCTATCTCTATTCTCGACGCTCTGTTGCTCCACTACACGCCAGTATTCTTTGGCCGCTGTGGTATCTTCTTTGCGGTGTATTGCTCAGCATTTTTGCTGCTATGTGGATGTCAGGAGGTGGCGTTGTTCCACAGTATATCGCTGCTGGTATGCCTTTTCTATATAATCTTGGCTTCGTGCCTCAGTTCTTAACGCAAGCAAGAAGTAAACAACAAAATACTTTGTCGTTTACTCCAGTTCATCGAACGAATGATATGGATTTATAGATATTTTATTTTCATCGAGTTCACTTTGTAAAACTTTTTCGTGCTGATTGCACATTGATTGCTGTAGCTGCAGATTCTCTTGTTACAGCAATAAATCGATGATATAAGCTGACGAATATTTCTTCAAGTCTCTGCTGAAATACATGCCAGTGACTATATAAATATAAAGCCCTATACAGATGAGAATGTAGAATAAGACTAATACTATTCGAAAATATAATGAATGCAGAGTTTGTTGAACAGAATCGTTCTATCGATTAGCTAATCTTTTCCCATACATCAAAATGATAATATTTCAGCATAGGAACATAAGATTCAGTTGTAAATATCTGTGAAACTCCTACAGGTATACTGCAATGAATATCGACTAATACTTGGAAAGTAACATACGTAAAATATGTATATCTTTTCGCTGCATGTGAGGATGGCCGATGACTGCAGGATAGATTCGTTTTTGACTCCATCGAATGTTGATCATCGTGAGCACACGGAGAATACTCAGGAGAAGTGGCAATGAAAGATAATTGAGAATGATTGAATATAGAGTTATGGAGATGTTGTAATCATCATTTCCAATATAACAAAGAGTACAACCAGCTTCTGCCCATATAGTTGATTCAACAAGAGCATGGATGGAAAAGGTTGCTCGGAAGGCGAACACGCCTATAGCGAGTTGACGAGCTAACTTTCGCTGAGTCTGTAGTCGTCTTCGTGCACTGAGAGAGGTTAACAGTAGCCGATCGATGCTGGCCAAAATGGTAAAACTCGGTGTTAAAATACCTGTGAGATATGTAATGTAAAATTTGATTTTGCAGAAAATCAAGGAATGCACTGACGGATCAATATTGTAAGCTAGAAAGTTTAAATTCAAGGCACGAAATATGGATCAGTGGAAAGTTTATCTACGGATAAGTAGTAGAAAAAATTTTTACAAATGATAAATACCAGATGCGAATAAGAAAAGCAGCAAGCAAGTAGATTACACAACTATTTGTTTGAAATATATGTCGGACAACAATGATGATATTCAAAACTTCGCCGATAAAGCCAAAGACGAATAAAATTGATAAGGTTATTTGAGCGAAAATCATCTTAACAGATAGAATGGTTTGAATAATAGAAAAGACTCCATTACATGACGTTGCCATGAATTTGCACTTGCTTACTATCAATCTCGGAAAGTATGTTTTCTTCAGTTCAATTGTGCGAATTAATACTGCATGACCATCAATTTCTTAATTCATACACCGGAAGATTAACGTCATTTCATTTGAGAGTATAGTTATGGTAGAATGTATTAAAAGAAACAGTGCTTGTTCGTACGTTTAGTATTAATGAGACTTCTAGTCGGATAAACAGAATTGATTCAAAGAGAAAATGTTAGAGTTCTGTGCTTCGAATCTACATATTTCCACTTTCGTTGAACCTGTCGTTTGAAAAATAATACTATGCTTTAAATAGACAATACTTTATTGCACTTAATTAAAATCATGCGTACAAATTGCATAGTGAAAATCGATTCCTATAGAACAATCCAGCAAAGGAAATATGCTACAGAACCTTTGGACGTTTTCTACGACATTTACATAGACCAGTACCACAGAGTTCAGCGCCAATAGAACCACAAGCAGCACCTGCTCCAGCACCAATAGCAGTTCCTCCAGCCGTACAGAGAGCGGCACCTCCTATCGCAGCTAAAACACCAGTCGCACCAATTGGGCCTAAAACGCTCAGAAGAAATACAGAGATACCGGCAAGGGCACCTACACTTAAAGCACCAGCTGCAGCACCCTTACGAGCGCCTACACATGCACCATGATCTCGGCATTTGCCGCATTTCGGGCAACGACGACCATCACACGATAATGTTTCAGTTGTTAAAGGCATTGATGCTATATTATCATTTAATCGTTGATCTTGCGATGAACTTACTGAATATACTACCTATGCGGTATGAAAGATATGCACACGAATTTTATAGAAGGTTGTCGTAGAATGTGTGAAAAATGATGTCATGTTTGTAACGATCATACATGTGTAACGCCTTCTCTTCCTTTCCTATTACTCATCGCGTCGCATTCCGCGACATTTATCAGATGTAGTAATTTCGTTTGCATGAAGAACAAATATTCGATTACAATCATATTGCTTTGTACATGCAATTACAACACGAACATGAATTGAATCATAAAAATGAGTGGAGAAATGACATTGAAGTAAGGAAAAAGACAACGTGAACGTATACATATCATTTCTCTCTTTCTCACCGTACACCTACGTCTTTTATTTAGTGCGATACCAGTTATAGTTGACTATTTACGCAAATCAAAGATAATCTTTCGAGCTAGTCGTTTGTCAAACAGTTCATAGGCGTTGACGGCATCGGACAAGTGCATGCGATGCGATATGAAATTCGTGAAAAGGTTTTGTTTGCGTGAAAAGAGCTCTAAAGCTTCCGGAAACAAAGCTCGCACAGGACACCGTCCAAATTGCAAACGTACATTCTTATCATAGACGGCAGGACCCGTGAATGGGAACGCGTCTAACTGTACGCCGACAGAAGCAATAACACCCCAAGGACGAATAAGGTCGTATGCTAATTGTAGAGCATTGGCATGCCCAACTATTTCCAGAACAGCATCGGCTCCTCGGCCATCAGTAGCTCTCTTAATCACGTTGATAGGGTCATTGTTGAGATTAACGGGAATTGCACCATGTTTCTTCGCTTCCTCTGTTATAAACGAATCAGACAACTTCTTGAGGGTGAGAACTCGTGTGACTTACCAAGACGCTCTTCTACACTGTCTATTGCGTATACAATTGGAAAGCGCTCACATGCAGCAGTTATAGCGCATAAACCAACGGGTCCACATCCGACAACTACGACAATTAGATTGGGATCTTGGCGTTCCTTTTCGCTCAGTAGTGTCCATGCATTCTTAGCAGCAAAATATCCTGTAGGAAATATGTCGCCCATAAGAACCATCAGATCATCTGATATTCCCGTTGGGACTGGAAATGCTGTTGAATCTTAAAAAAAATCAGATGCGTTATACACACTGATAGTAATAAATGTTACCAGCGAAAGGTATTCGTACATATTCAGCTTGACCACCATTGAGTGATGGTGATCCGAACAATTGAGAATGTTCGCATCGTGAAGTGAGAGCCTTCTTACAGTAGAAGCACGTACCACACGATGTCGAAAATGGTACAACAACTCTATCTCCTATCTTGAATTGTTTTACATCCATTCCAATTTCAATAATTTCTCCAAAAAACTCATGACCCTGAAAAATCATTCTTACATCTGTACAAAGAAAATCGATGAATCTACACTTGCCATAATAAAATCTGTTTCGCTCGCTGTTTCATGTCCTCTGTATACATGCAAATCAGAACCACATAAAGCAGTGATATGCACTTTGATAACTACATCCCCAGGATCTTTACATGTTGGGATAGGACGATCTTCGACGACAATTTTTTGCACATCCTTGAATACAACAGCTTGCATGGTAAAGTTTACGTCGATAACAAAAAAAAACGAATGAAGGGAATTTGAATTAAGTTTATCTATCTTCATGCTTGTTGTAATGCAATGAAAGAAAAAGCAAAGAAGATAAGACGGCAAAATGTAACGATGACATCGAGGTATTTTTTTTCATCAATTTATGTTTTACTTTATTTTATTTTTCTTGATAAATCGATCTACGATCCATTTTCTACTCGAACATTATGATCTCTGATAGTTTTTCTCACCTTCAAGCGATAACATATGGTAGATTCATCCACAAACAGAGAACTGCAATTGAATAAAAGAATGCATGCTATTGGAAGCAGACAGTAAGCGACCCGTTCCCAAATATCGTGAATTCTAGATAAAATATGAATATATACAGATGAATAATCATTGTGGAGTATAGCAGAAGTGTATTTTCTTCCATTTATTATTGAACATGGTGGAATTGAAGTCCAAGCGACTAGAAGAGACATGGCACAATAACAACAAGTTGCAACATACCATCAGGAGTAAGCAAGATATGTTCGTTCATTCGATAATCGAATGAACAGCATACGAACCTGCTCTGATTGGAATATCCAGAGAAGTGGTAAGAAAAGAAATGCATAAAATGATCACAATGCTTTAATTGTTTGGCATCGAACGCTCCTTGCTTCCACTTGAATCGAAGTAAACGTATTTGCAGATGTGCTGATATTTTGTCACAAGATTCACAGAATAAGTAAAAAAAAATTAGATTAATATAGAGAGTATTTCATATACTTTTTCATTTTCTACCTGAGCTTACTTAAATTCAAACGAAATTAAGCACGCGTGTATACATTTTTCACTTCGATAACATGCATAAGTATGTTTTTATAGAATGCCAAAAGTTTCTACATCCATGTTCTTTTCTGTTTAAACGCATCCATCAAAAACGAACTGACGAAGAAAGTAAATAGAAAAAAGTTTTATTGAAAAACATCAACTTTTGAAAAGTAAAGGTCACCATTTTCTACTCGTCAGGAATCTTTTCATTCAGAACCCTTCTTCGCAATCAAAACAAAATCTAATATTTGATTCCAGAACAATAAAAATATTGATAATCGCTTGGTGGTATGAAAGGCTAACAACGTGGATTTTTACCCGACTTTTGAAACGCTGAAAGTAAAAACAAGAATTTCTCCATTTTTTTTTTCTGAAATTTGAATGTTACAATGACGTTCTTTCTCGCAACTGTGTTCAATCTACCATTATTTCGAGCAACCATTTGGCATGGTGTTCGAATAAATCTAAGTGATAAATACGATGAACAGAAGGTTTGGTAGGAATTGACCTCTTCAAAAACGCATTCGTTAGCAAAAATGGGGATCAAACAATATGTCAAAGTGAATGTTTGAATACAAAATCCAATCGTTCTCATTCATATTCTTTTTCCTGGAACGTACTTGAGAGTTGTGGATGAACTCGAAGTACCAGAGGATGTATGTATCATTCGTCGGAAGAAAGAAAGTTCTTCTTATAAAACCACGTTGATGCAAAGGAAAGCAAGAAGGCAAATTGATTGTTATTGGTAACGGGTATAGAAAAGAAATGAATCAATTGTGCAATTCTACAGGCTTGTCATTCAATATCGAAGGAGATCTTTATGTTGTTGACTATAGAAACCATCGAGTCCAAAGATTTGATTTAATTCGTGAATGAGGAAGATTCGATTTTTAGAAAAACATTGAACAAAAATCAGCAACAATTTTCTTTGGACCTTTAGCTATCAACATTATTCGCACCTTCCTTGAATTCATACTGAATTTTTCCAAACATCTTTGTCATTCACTACTTTCTGTTCTCATCTGTACTGTTATGATTTTCAAGTATTTTATGTCACTACACTTTTAGAAGAGAGTTAGTAATACTTCCCTGATTTTTCAAAATTTGATCCAAGTTCGTGAAGTAAAGATAATGACACGATCAAGAACATAGTCGATCCAATTTAAGTCAAAATGGCGAGCAGTAGTGCGTATTGATGTTGTTGTCAGAGAAGATTTCTCATCTTTCAAAATGACTTTTACATTCGTCTCTATAAGTTAAAGAGTAGAGAGCGAGGACGGCTCTCTTCCTTATGGAACTGTAGTTTCTATTGATTCATTCTAAAGTATGATGCTATTTACTTTTCATTGATGTCAAAGAGCAGAGTCGACAAGAGTATATATATATCTCTTCCTGTTTTCTTTTAATCTCATTTCTACTTTTACTATATATAAGAAAAAATAAAAGTGAGTCAGAATGTATTTAGTTCTTTTAATTTCTCTCTTTGTCTCTTCAATAAATGCCATTACAATGAGCCAAATTCACCGATTTTCCCTTTTTGACACCAATTCCTCCTGTGCACTTCTTCGGACAGTTACTCGGTCAAATGATGCATCGATTCAATCTTGTATTTGGGAGTGCGCCTACCAAGATCAGTGCCACACGGCGGTTTATTACTATAATAATAAAACTTGTGTGTTATTTCGCGAAGATTGTCATTCGGGTAGGATTACACCATCTAGAAACATTTGGACGAGTGTAATTTGTTATCGCAGAAACCAAAGTTAGCTGATTGTGATGAAGATCGACATTTTTATGATTGACCATTTTTTAGGATCAAACAACCAATGCTCTTCAAATGTCACACATCTTGGTAGGTAGATTAGACGCGACTCTGTTAATATGGCAGCCACTGACCTATAGGAGAATGAAATTAGAGTTCTTGCGGAGACGTTTGATCTACTCTTGTGATTGGATCTTTTCTATTCAACAAATGACCAGACAAAGCATCTATTTGATTATTTTGAAGTTGTATCATAGCGTGAGAATTGCCTTTTATATCACCTTTTTTAGGCTGGATGATGACTGGAAATCTAAATGTTGGACGACATTATCATACGGCATCGATACTATGTGACGGAAAAGTCTTCGTAACTGGTGGATATAACAGTGGTTATCTAGAAAGTACTGAACTGTATGGTCCAGTGACTGGTAGCTGGACAATGAGTGCAAATATGAGCGCTAAACGATACCGACATCAAGCATCGATTTTATGCGATGACCAAGTCCTAGTGACTGGTGGGTGTTGTTATATCGACAGTGCTGAATTATATGATTCATCAACAGGTAATTGGACACGAATTGGCAATATTAATAGCATGTGAGAATTTCACACAGCATCCAGATGATCAAACGGAATGATACTAGTAGCTGGCGGATACTATGGCAGCGGCGATTGTAACAGTGCTGAGTTGTATTAACAGATCCTAGCTTCACACTGTTTTCTTTTTTATTTAGCAAATATATTGACCTTTTATAGTAAAAGTATAACATTAATCAATAAATAAATCGAACGCAAGTTGCACAATTGGAATTGAAATAAGCCTTTGGATGCTATTTTGAGGATGCAAATGTGAAGAAGCAATAGTGCATATGTTCTATTTAAATTTATATGCTTACAATATTAAATAGTTTTATTTCGCATTTTTAAATGTCTGATACAAAAAAACTTTTCTTTTGTCAATATTAATATAACTCAGCAGTATTGTGAGTGACATAAAGGTCTTCTCCACCAGTCACTAATACTGTTCCACTCGATAATATGCTCGCCGTGTGATAAGACCGTTTGTCATTCATCTCGTCAACCTGTGTCCAAGTACCTGTAGATGGATCATACAATTCGACACTGTCTCCGAAGCGACCTCCAGTCACTAGCACTCTACCGTCTGATAATACATTTGCCGTATGGTCAGATCGTCCCACATTCAAACTCCCAGTCATTGTCCACGTGCCTGTAGACGGATCATACAGCTCAGCGCTGTCGAGAAAACTGCTACCATGCCATCCACCGGCAACTAAAACTTTTCCGTTCGATAATACGCTTGCTGTGTGATCAGACCGTTGCACATGCATGTCTCCAGTAGTGGTCCAAGTGTTTGTGGATAAATTATATATTTCGGCACTTTTTAAATAATAACCAGCACATTCTCCACCGGCAACTAACACTGTCGTATCTGATAATATGCTTGCCGTGTGATCATATCGTCGTGTACTCATGCTTCCAGTCCATGTCCAACTGTTTGCTAACGGATTATACAATTCGGCAGTGTTGCTCGAAGAACCTCCAGACACTAACAATCTACCGTCTGATAATACATTTGCCGTATGGTCAGATCGTCCCACATTCAAACTCCCAGTCATTGTCCACGTACCTGTAGACGGATCATACAGCTCAGCGCTGTCGAGAAAACTGCTACCATGCCATCCACCGGCAACTAAAACTTTTCCGTTCGATAACACGCTTGCTGTGTGATCAGACCGTTGCACATGCATGTCTCCAGTAGTGGTCCAAGTGTTTGTGGATAAATTATATATTTCGGCACTTTTTAAATAATAACCAGCACATTCTCCACCGGCAACTAACACTGTCGTATCTGATAATATGCTTGCCGTGTGATCATATCGTCGTGTACTCATGCTTGTAGCACTTGTCCAGGCTAAATAAACAAGTGAGATGCTAAAAAATCTTTTTTGAAAACAACTGCAAAGTAATTTTATATACTAATCGTTGTTCTATTAATTGTAAATTAAATACACTGCAAATACTATTCAATTTTTCTTTACTGTCATGAGCAAGATTATAACTCATCTATAACCTCATTTTTGATAATCTTATATTCTCTATACTTCTTCATGCGTAAAGTTTACATACTATGAACAGCCTGTGTCGTCTGTATCCCTGCTTGTGTTGATGTTGCAGTAGATTGACAATACATATTGGACTCTATGATACATAAGTTATCCATATACCAAAGTAAAGAAATTCTTACCTTCATTTTTTCGACAACAGATAACACTCGCTCGAGTACTTCCCGATGGTTGAATGTGACCTGATTGACAATGTTCACCGAATGTCGAACATATTTTCTGATCATGAAGATAGACGGCCGTTTGACACTTAATATTGTGCATACATTGCCAAATGCAAGAGTTAAGCGATGCATCCAATAATGGTAATGAAATATTGTCAAGAATAGCACAAGGAGAGTTCGGATTATAGGTTGAAGATCGATAGACTTTAGTCACTAGAACCGTATTGATTGCCGGAAGAAACAAATAGGTGAACAGAACTTTAATTTGCATGGTCTGTATTAACAAAATCAAACAACAAAGTATCAATAATATGAAGTTTGCAGAAACGTATATATACCTTTTTTTTACTAAACCAATAAAAATACACGAATTCGGATGTCAGATTTCAAGCACACTCTCTGATTTTCTACTGAAGAAATAGTCATGCATCTTTTCTCGGGCATGTTCAAACAATAAAACGTTTACGTTTAAATGTACGTCAATATTTGCCATGCACACATGATCTTCCGATTGTTTCCTGATTTATTTTTAAAAAAGCATGACATTGGTACGTATTTATCACCAAATCACATACTGCCTTTCATTAAAATCATAGGAGATTGCTTGTGAATGAGTATTCAACATTTTTTCGTTTTCTTCCCAACACAGAAAATTACAACCACTTATTTTAGTTGATCGATGCGCGAACATCTATACAAAAGTGTACGTTCACGATTGCATCTTCATAGTGCATTAAAACAATGACTGACAGATTGATGGATGAATAGTGAGGGTGAGGATATGCGTGCACATATCTTCTTTACACGTACAATCTGTCACGCTACGTGCATATCGTCCAGGTCATTACATCTATCGGTGACCGCTGCATGACCCTTGGTTAGGCGACCGCAATCACTCCATTCACCGTCGATCACTTGCGATAGAACCTCGACATGAAAATTCATCAGTCTAAAGTGGAAGGTGTAATTTTATCGAAACTAGTAAATCGAACTTTGTTACTCTGTGATCAAACTCGATTAAATCTAGTCAATTGGTTGGAAGCTGTTCACTGAGAAAATACTTAATTCGGATCGAACCCAACTTCTTGCCTTATTAAAGTCAGTTACCAGCTGACCCTTTGGAAATGTAAGTTCTCTTTTGGTTTCAAAAAATACTTCACCCGGTTTTTCTGCGTCTAGTGTAATTTGAAGTACTGAATTGCTGTGTTGAATCTGTTTGATAGAATTCTCGAAGAAGTCTGTATGAGAACTGGTCCATGGACGCTCAATTGTGATAAAGCAGAAAACGAAGAGGTTTAGTACAGAAACGAAACGATTTCTATATTCTTCTCTAAATTTGATTTCTAGCTGAAAATGTTGGTCATTGCTGTTCTTCATTTTTCTGAATTTTTAATATCACACGAATTCTCACGACATGTTTATAAATCTATTGATCATTTGATTGTGTTACTAAAATCATCTGATATACAAATCATACTTGATGTTCTTTCGGTATCCTACCTATTCGCTGAACGTTTCAATATAATTAATAGACTATTAAACGAGACAAAGCAAATCTTCCTGGAGCGAATTATTCTCTTTTCTGAAAGAAAGGGTGATAGCGTCATAAATCGGGTGGTTGAAATGCAAAAAGTTTGCTTGCTTGCTTGTTTGTTTGCGTAATCCAATCAAATTGCAGCATTTTATAAATCAATGAAATTGATCGATTGTTGTTAGAAAATGATTACCGGTAGGGTAATCGAGGTCGGGGAACTTGAATCCGAGGTTGGATTTAACTAATTATTAACTATTAATCAACTAGCTGTCAACTAGACATAAATTATTAATATGCAGGGTAAGGGTTGACCGAAGGGTAATCGGGGTCGAGGATCTCGAATCTGAGGTTAGTTTCTCCATATCCAAATTAGCTCATTAGCTAATTAGCTAATTAAGTGATGAAAATTTTCTTCGTTGTCGAGTAAGGGTTGACCGGAGGGTAATCGGGGTCGAGGATCCCGAATCCGGTGTCAGTTTCTCGAAATTCTAATTAGCTAATTACTAATTAGGAAATGAAAAATTTTGTTGTTGTCGAGTAAGGGTCGACCGAAGGGTAATCGGGATCGAGGATCACGAATCCGAGGTTAGTGTTGATTAATTAATTATTAGTTTTTCATTAACTAGCCACGACTTATTAACATCCATTGTCAGAGTAGACCGAAGGATTTCTGACGTCGGGAAATTAGAATTTGAGGATGAATTTCGTTTTATTCGCTGAGCCTGGGCTTGTTGCTTCGTCTTTACAAAGGAGATATTTTTCGTTATCTGTTCTAAAATCTTTTGTAGAAGATGGTGAGCTGAACGCTATTCACGGACGTCATGTGTATAAAGATAGTAGCTCAAGAACTTACACGAAAAGATCTAATGCATTGTACATAATGATGTTTCTAATTGAAGAAATCCGAAAAAATGATATGAGCTTAGTATCTGTAACGACAAACTTTATTCAAGGTGATTCGACTGGCTTTATTTCAACCAAACATTTCCTTTTATATTCGTTCTCTCTGTTCTCTTTTCTTTTGAGCGCATCGGTCAAGAGAGAACAGGGAGAGAAAGAGACGGACAGAGAGAAACACGAAGAAGAGAAAAGAATCATTAGATGATTAGATGAACTGATGAAGATGAACTCGCTATGAGACGAGATGCATAGATATAATGAACAGAAAGGAGAAGATGATAATATATACATGAGTCATCTATCTGTGTTTGAGAGATTAATTGACGAATACACAAATGTTGTCACACCCTCCGATCCAGATCAGACGCACTCCTGGGCGTCTTTTTTTTTTGAATTAGCGGATCAACATTTGGTGTATTGAGAGGGTGTCCTCGTTGAGAACTTCCTACCGAAGGGTTGAAGGAGGAGACAAAGAAGAAAACAAACGTGTTAACAAGGATATGAGTTTAAAAAAAAAAGGAAAAAAAAAATGACACAAACATGAGGTGGTTTAGAGGATGTCTTTTTGTCTTTGTTTGACGGTAGATTGTTCATGTTGCTGGCATATTGATTAATTCTGTTAGTTTTTTCATTTTTGTGATCCACATTAAGTATCCACATACTATTGAGATACTCACAATTGCAACTAGTACGCCCACGACCACCCCAGGCATTAGTGGTTCGTACCATGTTGTTTGTATATGTTTTATTCCATTGGATTGAGGCGTTTTCATTAAATGTTCGAACATGCTTTGGATATTCGATGCGACATATGGTATTTTTTCCCATTTTGTTGTATTCTTGATATGATGATTTAAGTCAATTAAATATGATTCTTCATCGGTGATTGTTTGTTCTTCGATTATTGCTATTTGTTTATTATTGTTGCTTGTAGGTCGTGGAAGAAAGAAGTGGTCGCAGCTTAGCGACGTTGAGTTATCCGTTGCTAGTAGGACAATTGGTGGAAGAGTTAGTTCGTTATTTGTTGTTATTATATGTTGATTTTGATCTTTTTGCATTACTCGATGACATCTTGTTTGGTTCTGTGTTGATATGGCCCACTTGTTTCCGATTTTTTGTACAAAAATTGGTTCAGTTTCTTCTTCGATTCGACAGTTGGTTAATTTTGAATCCGTTAATATTTCGAATAAGCAACTTTCTTGCCAATTTTTTCTAATCGGTGGTGTTTCACGACATGATGATGTTAACTCGAACCGACATGCTGTGGTTTCTTCTTTTGTCCATTGGATTATTTCCATCTTTTTGGTCGAGATGCTCACCATTGATGGTAATTGAGCAAGTTTTACCCTTCGATTTTCATGGTTGAAGGGCATTGGAATTAATTTAAAAGTTGAAAATTGATGTTGATTTTTATCCGTCGCTGCAAAAAACGAGATGAATATTAAATTTCCCATTTTATCTTGATCGTTTCTTTGTGTGTTGGGTGTTGGCATAAATTCGACGCGTTGTTGTATCAATAAACGGCTGGCTAATTCAAATAGTGGTATGTCATCATTATCTTTGTCTAAATTTATATTTGTTTCTTGCATTATGATATCTATTACTCGAGGTAGATCCTGATGGTGCATGAATCGTAAATTGAGTTTGTTAGCCAAGATATCTTCGATCGAATCATGAATGAAATGTGTTTCTACATTATGTATGAATGTCGAAAGTTTCTTTTGTAGTGCTTTGATTGTTTCTGCTAAGGTGTTAATTGCTATTCGATTCTCTCTTATCATGTCGGAGTGTTCGTTCACTATTTTAATTGTATTATTTAGAGCCATTTGTGTGTGATAGAGTTCTTCTGTTGATCTGATTTGCCCGGCAGTTAGTTGAAAAATTTGACTTGCGTGTACATCCATATTGTCTCTCAAAATGTTAATTGTATCGATGGTTGTTCTGACTTGTTGTTGAAGATTTGCATCTTGTACTAGATTGATTGCCGACAAGGCTGTTGAGACTACACCCATTGCAATTGGAATCAATGCAGTTAAAAATCTTCTTTGTCGCTGTTGTTTATGTCTTTTGTGTATAATCGATCTTCTTGCTTTTCTTTCTTCCTTTCTTTTGTTTGAGTTGATTTTAGCTACACATTGGGGAATTTTCTTCATTGCTTTGATTGGTATTAAATAACACGTGTTATCAAACATTGGAATGGATACTGTGATTGATATTATATTGTCTGCCGGTTTGTATTCTGACACGTAATTCATGATTAAACCTGATGATTTGTGTAGAATATCTTGCTTTGGTAAAGTTATATTGAGTAATGTATACGTTTGTATTATCAGAGCGTTTAAAGTCCACCATATTAGTTTGTTTTGCATCTTGTTTAGGATTGTTCAGCTAGTTGAATGAGATTTAGCGTTATCCCTTTCCCCCTTTTTTTTTATAGATAATGTTTGTGATTGATGATTTCCATATGTTTCTTTTGAATTCATCGAAGGAAGGTGTCACTGGTTTATCTCTTCCTTTCACCGATGGTATGTTAATTGCTTGTTGATTATTGTTCGATGTATCTCATCGGCGCCCTGCGGTGTCGATTTGATACTCGTCTTTGTATTGTTGAATTTATATCAGTTGACTGATCGATATTGTCTGTTGTATTTGAGACGGATGGATCATCTGGTAACTGTTCATTATTGTTCGTTGTTATTGTTGATTGATCGTTTGTATTATCTGTTCTTGGTTGGGTGTATGGCTTTAATCGATCAATATTCGTAGCTCCCAAATTTACATTATCGCTCAAGCGGTGAACCGTAAATGTGACGGGTGTCAGTTTCTTTATTAATTGGCACGGTCCTTGGTAATGTGGTAGTAATTTTCCATTGATTAAGTTGTCACCAGCTTGTTTTCTTGGAATTTCTACCCATACCAGATCACCTTCTGAATATTGTCGTTGGGATATATGTCGGTCATAATTTATCTTTTGTTTTGCTTTTTCTAATTCTGAGTGTTGTTTGATTAGATTGTATGCACTTCGCAATTGATTGATTAAATATTTTTTATACTCTTGGATCTGCTCTTGTTCATTTGTTGTTGGTGGCGGTCCTTGTATTGGTTCACTTAATATTGATTCTAAAGGACCTCTAAGGTCTCGGCCGAACATCATAAAAGCGGGAGTTTCACCCGTTGTTTCATTTCTTGTAGTTCGGATAGCGAATGCTATTTTTTGAATTTCTTTATCCCATGCTTGTGGTTGTTGTTGAGCGTAAATGGCTATTAGTGGCTTTAATGTTCGATTCACACGTTCTGTCATATTGCTTTGAGGGTGATAATTAGCGGTTAGATTCTGTTGTATTCCAAGTGTTTCACAAAAATTTTGGAATAAGTTTGAAACGAATTGTGGACCGTTGTCTGATACGATATGTTTTGGTAGACCATATCTCGAGAAAATTTCATTTGTTAATATGTCTGCAATATCTTTTGATGTAGTTGATCGAAGAGGAAATAATTCCACCCATCTTGTAAAATAGTCTACAATCACTAAAAGATATCTTTTTTGCCTAAATGTGGCTGGAAATGGTCCCATAATATCTATTCCAATTGTTTGCCACGGTTCTTCGACAACATGAGGTTGTAATGGACCTGAAGTTGGCGCATTATTGAATTTAAATTGTTGACAAGCGTGACATGCTGCGACGTAATTGTATACGTCTTTACGCATTGATTCCCAGAATACTTTTGTAGATAGTCGAAATAACGTTCTTTGTTGACCTCCGTGGCCTGCTGTTGGATGATCATGTGCCCATTTCAGTATTTGGGCTTGTTTTGTTTTTGGAACAACTAATAAATGTTTGTTTCCTATGATTCGTTGATTGTAATGACGATTTGAATTTTTTATTTTGTATAACAAATTATTGATGAGTACATATGGATTACGTTTATCATTGAAATTTGTTGACGTACTGGATTGTAACCAGTCAATAATTGGTTTTAGTTTCGGATCAGATTGCTGTTCTTTTTTTATATCATCTAAGATGTTGGTATTTTCCCATATGTTAATTCCTGTCTCAATCGTAGACAGTTCGTGTTGCTGATCTTTATCAGTCTTTAATGGATTGCGTGATAATGAATCAGCGTTTGCATTTGATTTTCCTGGTCGATATCGAATTTCTTCAATTTGGTATGCCGATAATTTCATAGCCCATCTGGCTATTCGACCTGTCACATCTTTCGCTGTTCTCATCCATTGTAATGCTTTGCAATCTGACCGAATATAAATTTTGTTACCTTCTAGATATGGTCGAAAATGTTTTGTAGCCCATACAATGGCTAGTGCTTCACGTTCTGTTGCGCCATACTTTCTTTCCGCTGTTGATAATGTTTTACTTGCATAAGCAATGACGTATTTTTTGTCATCATATTCTTGGGTTAGTACTGCACCTAATCCATATTCACATGCGTCTAGTTCTAAAATGAATGGCTGTTCGAAATTTGGTGTGTTCATAACTGGTGCATTGGTTAATTTGTTTTTCAATGTTTCGAAAGCTGTCGTGCAGTCAGCTGTCCATTCAAGGTGATAATTACTCCCTTGTGCAATTCTTAATTGTCTAAGTAATGGTTCTGCTAATTTAGAGTAGTTTTGGATGAATCTTCGATAATATCCGGTTAGTCCAAGAAACGATTGTATATCTTTGATCTTTTTTGGTTGTGGAAATTCTATCACTGATTTGATTAGATTAGGATCTGGTTTAATTCCTTTTGATGTGACGACATGTCCAAGGTAATGCATTTCTTGACGGCAAAATTGACACTTTGAAGCTTTTAATGTGAGATTAGCTTCTTTTAATGCTTGAAATACATTTTCTAAGTCGACGAGATGTTGTTCGAATGTTGGGGAGTAAATTACGACGTCGTCGATGTATACCAGGCAACATTGCCATTTCAAACCGGCTAATACTACGTCCATTAGTCGTTGAAATGTTGCTGGAGCATTCGTTAATCCAAAAGGCATTACATTAAATTCATATAATCCTTTGTGTGTGACGAATGCTGTTTTTTCTCTTGAATTTTTATCCATTTCCACTTGCCAATAACCTGAGCGTAAATCTAATGTTGATATAAATTTTGCTTCTTGTAATGAATCTAAAGTAT